GTGTGTGGAGTGGGGCGGGCAGAGGTTAGAGTAGGTGGTTGTTTTTTAAGCAAGGAAGAAAGACGACAACGAGAAGAGAAAAATTAAATATAGCACTCATACATCTGAGCATACATATAACACCGGAACAAGTACATCATTCGAATTACAAAATTCTTTCTACTCAGCACCTAGTTTTGAGAAAATTGAAAATTTTGAGTTTCACAACATGTCAGCTTTTTCGAAAGCAATTCTTTGAATAAAGACTCCAAATAATCTAACGATTTTAATAGCGCATAGAACATTTGGTTCCGGACCTCATGGTATTAGTTTATTAGCTCTAAACATTAAAAAATGTCAAATAGAACATTGTAATTCTGAGGTAGCGATATAGCATTGGGGAAAAAATAGCGCTCATACATCTGAGTATACATATATAGCATCTGAGAAATTGCACTCGTATATCTATGCATGCATCTGCGTGTGTACTATTCCAAATTAATTGGCCAGCCCCCCAGATGGTTTACAGTAAGTATACTATTACACTCTCCTCCCAAGGCACGTATGAAAGGGCGAGAGGGCAAGTATGTATCACCAATAAGCGAAAAGGGTGGAAGGGTGAAATGGGGGAAGAGTGGAAGGGTGGAAGGGTGGAAGAGAGGAAGAATGGGGGGGGGGGGGATAAATATAACTGACAGGACTTGCTCTGATCATATCAGATAGTAAAGCTGTGATGTTCCCATGGAAACATGCTAAGCAGTCCCACCGATCGTTTCAGGCTGGCAGTATACCAAGAACATAGAATAGAACGATTCTTTTGCCCTGGATCATCTCGACATTAAAAAACTTGCCGCACCTCTATATAAACTATTAATACACAGCCAAGGGATTCAATACAAGTATTATTGGGTTTTGTAGAAATTGCTTGCTCAACAACGGTTCTACTTTTTTACGAATAAATTATAACAATATGGTAAGACTTTTTTTGTGACAGGGCTTCCCTCACCGCAGCTAGGTTCAGTGTATGCACGACCCAGTCCACGTCACATTGGTAGTGGGTTGGCCCACGTCATTTTTTCCCTGTGTTTTTAGCCATTTTGCCATAGTCTAGAAATAGTACTTGCTACTCGTACATTTTGAGTATTCTCGTAATGTCTTTCTAAACATAATGAGTGTTCTCCTTGGCCAGTTCAATAGTGTGGCTACACTTTCAACACCTACACCTAAACGTTTAACGAAAACCTCCTTGATTAGATTTAGATTTCTTCATAAGGCGTCGATAGCTCTGCTGGTATAAAGCTGAACTGCGGTGTAGATTATGCTGTTTCGAATCGCCAACAGGGTGTTCTGAAACTTAGGTAACTGTGGAGTTAAGTTTTCAAGGCTCTCAGATCAATACGCTAGTTCCTATCAGATAAGGACATTAAATTCGGAAATCCCGGTTTTAAAAAAAGGACCTGATACTTCTGGCGTTAGAAGGGATGCTAAACCAATACCATACCAGACCTTTTCACGCTGCAGCGTGCATTTTGGGCTCATGAACGTCAGGAGAAAAATTTGTGATTCGAAACCAGAGTTCACAATATCATTTTAGCCTACTTTATTCAAAGTGGTGGCGCGCAGAATTGTTGTCAAAGTACCGAGGGCAAAGGAATTGAAGGAGCATTGAAAGCTTGTGGTGTTTGTCCCAATAAGTGAGTAATGAGAGCGGAACTTCGGTAAAAAGCTATTTTTTCTAACCTTGGTGTGCGCTTCAGAAAGATCGGGTTGTGAGAACGAGGTAAAAAGGGCGAAAGGGAAGGCGATGTGGATTGAATGAGAATACGATTCTCTCTCTCTCTCTCTCTCTCTCTCTCTCTCTCTCTCTCTCTATCTATCTATCTATCTATCTATCTATCTATCTATCTATCTATCTCTCTCCATATATCTCTCTGATGCTATATTTGGGCGCGCGTGTTAGTTGTGTAAAAAGAGAGAAAAAGACAAGAAAGGGAGAGAGAAAGAGAGAGAGAAAGAGAGACAGAGAGAAAAAGAGAGAGAGAGACATACACAGAAAGAGAGAGACAGAGACAGAGAGAGAGAGAGAGAGAGAGAGAGA